AATTTTAACGTTTGTTATGCCTTTGCGTGAGGGACTAATAGACACGACAAATGTATTCTGCAAACAGAAAAATGTTAAAAATACGTAGTCTGAGCTGGCAATTTATTCTCTATGTTAAAATTATTTAGCAAAGCCAAGTCCGGGTTTAAAAGTGTTGTGCCCCTAGTTTGATTCAAAACGGCAGTAAATCATAGATTTCCAATTATGCAGTTCTGTTTGCAGCTGCTATAAAACAAAATTTGGCAATATTACAGAGTTAATTCTTTAATTTTCTTTATCAAACAGATACTTTAAGCTTTTGTAAACATCGCAGTGCGCATTTTTCTATAGAGCAGGCAAACATATACTGTAGAAGTGGTAAGAAAGCCTATAAACATTTTTTTATAGGTTTTAAAATATGCTCTTTCCAATGGTGATATTTCCAGAACAAAAAAATAATTTCCTGTGCGTTTTCTAGCGATCCGGTCTCCAGAAAACCCATGAGAAATATTTTTGCATCTCGAGAACCTCACCATTGGAAAGAGCACATTTTAAAACCTATAAAAAAAGTGTTTATATCCTTTCGCAGTATTGCTAAAACAAATATCCAGATTCCTAGGCAAAATGTGCTGTAGGGAGGCTTTCAACTCTATAATTCAGCTAGATCGAAAATTTTTCTGCAGAAAAATTAAGAAGCTATACATCATTCGATGCAGTTTTCGGCGCTAATTTCGAATATATCATTTTTATTGAATAAAAAGGTTTCTGAACCGAGAAAAATGGAAAATATCTGAAATATAAAAGTTTTTTGGAAAACCTGCTGTATGCTTTAGAAACATTTGGGCATCTTTGCGCATTAATCATGTATGCAAGGCATATAGGGAAACATTTTGGCAAAGTCTGAACGAGTTTCAAACGGAGACGTGGAGAGAGCGCTCATTTTACTGAAACTAGCCGTTGGGAGAACCAGTTAGGAAAAACTTTTATTTCTTTTGTCAACAATCTGCAACTCAACCTAACAATTCTTTTTTACTGATATATACTGAATGATGTGAAGATTCAAAATTTTCATTACATTAGCATACCACATTAGTCATTTTAGTGTAAAATAAACTTTCCTGCCAATGACGTTATTTTCAGGCTAATTTTAAATTATGTGATTTTCCACTTCTGTTGAACTTTGTAGCAAAAATTTGAATGCCATCAAACAGTCCATAGTTCGAAGTATATGTAGCACTAACTGAATGGTCTAAAAGTCGGTTTACACTTTTCCGCTTGGGTGCACACTGTGCATCGGTAGTAAGGTGATTATGATCACAAAAAGAGAGTACGATTCCAGTCGATTTGGATAAAAGATCTTTAAGCTTTATGTCGTAATGACGTGAAAAACAAACTATTATTTAGATTATTTATGGTAATTTAGTATCCAATGGCGTCTGACCATACTGTAACATGGTTTTGGAAATCAAATACTAATCCTTGGTTAGCAGGTGAAGCAGAAAAATGGACACCGTACCCAGAGTCCATCAGTAATTGGATAGAAAGAGGATATAAAGAACAAAAATCCGAAGTTATTATTGATAGGTATCACAAAATTGATATTGGTAGAAGACTGCAAATAGATAGCGATGATCTCAATAAGCAACGTCCTATTCGTCGATGCTCAAAGAATGAAATCACTGACGATGAAATAGCATATCGACGCGAAAGGTTCACATTTTTTCACCCAATTAGACGATCTATTATCGATGATACTCCGTACTTTGGCTCCAGATTTATTACTGATTGGTTAATCTCATTTACTAACGGTACGTTAAAAATTACTGCATCCAGTATTCTTAATGCACTGATCGATGGTATTACATTCGAGGGAAGAATACTTGGTCACTTCTCTGATGTGCAGCATCTAGTCGCCGAGATAAAAAAGGAGGATAATTATAAAAAGATGAGCAAGCTGCAGCAATGCTGTGCTCGACTATACACAAAACCTTGTTTTCTTTTCAAAATTGTTAATGAAACTTTACGTGATAATGATCGAACAAAACTGACCACTCTTGGTCCGTTTTGTTATTTGGTCTATAATTACATTGGTATTCGACACAACAAATATCCTTCGATACGAAATCGATTAAAACAATTAATGAAAGTTAAAACGCATACTACGTCAATTGTTGTTTATCGTGGTGAAACACTGCCACTCGATTCGATTGAAACGTATCGTCAAGCGGTCGGAAAAGGTTATTATTACAAATGGTCATCATTCGTTTCGACATCAAAGTCACTTGAGGTTGCTGAATTTTTCGGAACCAATGTTCTATACATAATTGAAATAGAACGATGTCCGTCAAATGATCAATATGTTGATCTGTCAAGAATTGCGTACATGCAGGATGAAGAAGAAATCTTACTATGTCCAGGAGTAAGGTTTAAGATTGAAAGTGCTGCTTATGACTCGACTATTGAACGATATCTGTTTCATATTCAGATTGTACCATCGTATATATCAAACATTATGTAAAATAGATACTTTTTTTTGCAGATGCCATGTCTCTTCTATAGTGCACATTGTCCCTATCTATCCATGTTTCTAAGTATTGATTTCTCTATTGTATAGATGTCTCTCGCATCTGTACAGGAAACACATCTCAAAAGTAAATGGCCTTTGGGCTTAGCAGGAAACTGAAGAATTAATCGGAAGAGGCATTTCACAATCGAACTTCACTGTCACTCATCCTCATTTTCACAGCAGTAGCTGCATTTCATGCTAGGACACGTCTATAATCAGTTTAAAAACAGTCGTTTCTAACAGAACTTTTCTTAATAAATTACACTGTCAAATGAATAAAGCAATAAACAAAAGCCGCAATGTTGTTACTGAAATTGTTGGCACTTTTTCGGAAACCGTGAATTTTTTTCTATTCACTTTTCCTACTAGATAACGTTTATCTTCGATTCGCTCGATCCCTTGACGCTCGCGTTAATTCGTCTGTGGCACAATTACGGCGGTCTCTTTTTAACGTGCTTTTGAAGTGTATCATTGGAAAGCATCTTCAAAGTGCTTTAACACAAAACTACATACAAAAGTGCTCTGTATTGCATTGTTCAGAAGCTGAACTGACTAAAAAGCAGTATAAATAGGATCTGCACCAGACTGCTTTTTTCGAGTAGGCTAAACTACGGGCAGAATTTCGACTTTTTTGTCTCTGATTCAGAAAAACGGAAGTTTCTCAACAACAAAACAAAATTCTAAAATAAAAAGCGAATTATTAAGTTTTTGCGCTTGACGTAATCATTCGAATGTCGTATGAATGAAAGTTCCGTCACTTAATACAAAAAACGAGATAGAGTTACCAAATATGATGATCTAATCGGCACTAATATAGAGCCCGATTTTTCAGTTTGAACATATACTAAGTGATAAGGCTCTAGACAACATTTCAACATCCATTTTAATATAAGTAAACCGAAAAACGAAACGGTGAGAGAGAAAAAAGTTAAGGGTGTTTTTTGAAAACGGAAAAATTTTAGAGATTTTGCATTCGTCCCCGTATTTTGCCATTTTCCACCCGAAGACTTTATCAAAGCTTAAATAAAAGGTCATATTCATGATCGGCATCAGTAGATCTATCCGGTGATGTGTGTTTCAGTCAGAAAATAAAAGTGCTGAACTTTTGAATTAGCGGCGCCTTATAAAATCTTACCAAATTATTTTGAATCGGCTCAATATGCTACTGCTCGTGCTGTATCTGGAGCCATGATATACAGTTCAGCCGAGAAAGTTCTACACGACTTTGGGAATCCGTTACGAAAATATTTAAGTGTCATCGACTAATATTGTTTCATAAAATTCTGTTAGGCACAATACCTTCATTTCTTAAAAATATATGCCTGTCAACTGCGTCGTGAGAGGCAGTTGTTGCCTATGGCTCGTTGTTGTCTAAATATGGTTTATGAATCAATGATATTTCGTACATTACGTGAATATAATGAGTTACCTTTAGAGATTAGGTTGATTCAGTCTGTTCGGAAGTTCAGATCTCGCCTTCTGTTCAAATCCCGGGTTCTGAGAATACCTCGAATATTACATCGTAACATTGATATTACTTATTGTCGTCTTAGAGTTGGTTTTTCCCAGTTGAGAAACGATCTGCACGACAAGGACAGGGTCAACAATCCGTTCTGTTCTTGTGATAACATGACTCCTGAAATATCAAATCACTTCTTTTTTGATTGTGTTTTTTATAAGAGTGAAAGAAGCCTACTTCTATCTAATTTAAACAATAAACTTCCTAGTCTAAAAATCGGCACTAAAACATTATTATTACAATGTCAATTGACATCTGATGAGATAGCAATAATTGTAAAAGAGGTCAGTGACTATATATACAATATCAGAAGATTTTCAGTTACGTCGCTCTGATTTTTTACTAGAACCTTTGTCTCTCTCTTCACATACACTCACTCCTACTGCTTGACACACGCGGGCTGCCTAGTATAGCTTAAATTTATCATTTGTGCTCTTTCAACAATTATATCTCATCTATGCATGCTCTCCTTAATTTTTATTTTTATTTATTTACCTACTTTAATCATTTTCTTTCCTTTTTTATTTTTTTTAAGTTTGTCTGTTCGTTCTTTTCCCTGTCTACTTCTCTCTGTTTGTTACTCCTTCATGGGCCCATTTGTATATGTCATTCACGATATTTATTCCCAGTATACAACATGGATCATAAGGATCTAGTACGTTATGTCTCAAATGGTGTCTTATTTCGTTTACTGTTATCCTTTTTTTTATTTTTCTGTTACATCATTAATAAACAGCTTAGACCAAATTATTTTACGAATTTTTTGACATCCACTAAAATATTAATATTTACATACTATCACCTACTATAAGCCTCCATGTGTATCAGTGATGTCATTTTATGACACATTATGTCAAGCTCCTTTTCATATCAAAATTATACCAAAATATTAATAGCGTTTAAAATGTTTAATGATTATTATTAACTTTTACTTTTGTTAATTTTTCCATATACATACTATGTGGATAAAAAAAACAGACAAACAGTCTATTAGTTTCGTAAGACCCTAACTTTCATAACGAGAATATTTATATCATATTTAATATTTCGGCGTTTAGTTAAGGAATCATCAATTTCTCGTTTTAATCTAAAAATGAGGAGTTTTGATAAAAAATAATCCCAGAAGATCCGATGCCGACACCATTTCAAAGAGAAAGTTGTGCAATATCTATCCATGAAATAAGACAATATATTCTCAATTTAGCTTTTGAGGAACCAAATAGATTTTTCAAGATCCTTACAAAGGACTATCTTGAAAAATATTTTTAAATGCATTATGCTTATGAACAGGTACGCTAGATAATGCCGAAAACTGGGACTTTCTGGCTTTTTTTGTCCTGAAGAACCTCAAAGAAGAACTGAGATCATTGTCTTAATCAACGAATGGTAGTAAAATTCATGGCAAAGTGATGGAAGTTGCGAAAATCTGCTGAATTTTGTCTTTGAGAAGACTTAGGACTGATACCTGGTGACTTGAGACTACCTTATGAGATACAGGCAATTACCACTAGATCCACCCTGATCAATGTTAACTTTCCAATAAAAATTCTAAAACTTGCTAAAAATCGGGATTTATGAAAATCTGAACTTTCAGGCTGTGTGCGTTATTCTAATTCTTTGTCCTTACTATTCTTTTGACGTCACATGTATTATTCAGTGGGTATATTACGACAACAATTAATTTTCAACTAAATTCAAAATGTTGAAATATCCAAAGTGTGTAATCAATCAAAAATGATTAAAAATAAGTAATGTGAACAGGGATGCACCGGTTGTAACCGATATGTCTGTTACGTTTTCCTATGGTCATGATTCTATGATAAGAAAGAAATTCGACATTTTGAATGTGCTTGTAGCC